AAAGATATATGCTTTGTGTATTTAAATGTAGATTGATAGTATGTAGTTTGTAACAGCCCCGGAAATTTAAATGAAGATGTATGTATTAAAAATTTTAAATGCAGAAGTGAAATAAAAATTTTGATTAACATCTCTTACATAATAACCATAAACATATTCAACGTATGAAAAAATAAGCTAATTAAAAGAAATACTCAAAATAAAAACTATAAATAGAACTATAAAATCTTTAGGCGTCTAATTCGCCGTCTTCCTGCGGAACTGGTTCGGGAACCACGTCTTCCTGATATGAAATGGTTAAGTAAGGAATGAGCTACACTAGCCCAGTAAAGACATCACACCATCTTACTGCCACATGAGTAAAGGTTCGTAGAAAACAAAAATGACTAATGGAGTATAATTTATAACAAACTCATTTATTAATGATAAAAACCTTTACTGTCCACTTACCTCGGTGAGATTCGTGAAAATAACATATGGAAACAATAACATTATAACCATCATAAAATCATATACGTTTTGTAACATAACACATGTTATACTTTTGCACTTCAATAATCAGACAACAAATTTCCTCTTTTAACAGCCTACTGGTATCCGTGGGGATCCATAGGGGGTCCCCGCTACACATGAACCATTAACATTAATAATCTGATTCCAGGGCCGTCCTCATACCCCGTCCAGTATGGGCGCCAAAACCATGAACCTCAATACCCCGTCCGGTACGAGGGTGAAACGGGCCGTCCCCATACCCCGTCCGATATGGGCGCCCAAACAATAAACCCCCGTCCGGTATGAGAGTGAAACGGGTCGTCCCCATACCCCGTCCGATATGGGTGCCAAAACACATAAGGTCTCCATACCCCATCCAATATGAGAGACCACGTTCCTGGTAGGGTTCCCTACGGATCCGATCCGTCCACCATCTCCCAGGATATCTAGTCAGGCTGTCCACATTATCCCTCTATCAATTCACATAACCTTTTTTTCATTTTTCTTGGTCTCAATTATCCAATCATACACAAACACGTAAACCAATAATGAACACCAAACAAAACAACACAACATCGGATTCACCATAATTCAAACCATAATAAAAGAAACCATGATTCATGCATACGAAACCATAAAATAGATACATCAAATACCATACTGCATTTAAAGCTGAAAAATAGATCAAACAACAACTGACCAAAAAATACATCAGATTCGGGCTCCATTAGTAACCTTAATTAATTATACACCTATATTAATTCATGAAATGTCGTTTTATTATTTATTGAGCTTTAATACCGTGATAGGAAATAGGGTGAGAAATCCTTACTTATTTCGGGGTTTGAAATTGGCTCTACAATGTGCCTACGGGCTGTCCCTAAATTTCCTGAATTTTCTCCGGGAAACTGAAATGCACTACCGGTACCTGCACGTGTCCCAAAAAATTCCAAATCAGACTCAGGGCCCCTTTTCGGCCAATATCGGAATTCCGGCACGGCGGCTCCGTCGTGCTTCGGCGATGACACCGCTGCCCGCGGCGGCGATCTGCCTCGGGTTGGCCGTTTTTGGCTGAATTCGGCCAAACTTGCATTGTTTCCTACGATAAAACAACCCTAGGGCCCTCGGTGGGTGAAAAAATCACGAAAAACCGAGACTTACCAGCGGCAGAGCTCTCGGGTGTAGTAGCTTCTCCGGCGCGAGTCGCGGTTTGATGTTTTGCTCTTGTCAACCTGTAGAGAAAAGGACGGTGATCACAGTGGTGTAAAAATTGCATCGAACGGGAACCGAAAAGGGCCTCATCGAAGGCAAAAATCGAGGGAAGCCGCAGTGGCGCTGCTGGACTTCGGCGGTGTTTTCCAGCCGATTGGCCGATGATTTAGCTCCGATTTGGCCATAGGCGGATTCAGCTTCGAAAAATGAGCCAAGGGGAGAAAATTTACCTCGTGTGGCGGTCAAAAAACCCTCCGGTGCGACGGCGGGTGGCGGCGACTGGTTCTTCTTCTCCGACGAGGGTACTGGCGGCTAGGGTTTGGGGTCGGGTGTGGGTGAGGTTATTTATAACCTTCTCCTTTTAATCTCAGCCATCTATCACGATTTAATCTGTACCGTCCGATCGCGATTAAAATGAGAATAAATCTGGGTCGTCTATCGCGATGCAATCTGGACTGTCCGTGCGTGATTCAATCTGGGCCGTCCGCACGCGTGAGATCTGAGTCGTCCGTGCACGTGAGATCTGGACCGTCCGTACGCATGAGATCTGGACCGTTCGATCGCGTGCACACGGATCGCTCACGTGGCTCCGTCCCGCGTGGTCTCCTGCGTCAACTTCTTTGCCACGCGGCGTGTTCTGATTGGCCGGAGCTGCTGACTGAGCTGCTGACATAGCACAACTTTCTTAAATTGCATTTGACCTCCAGTTTCCGATTTTCTTTTGAAAAATACCCCATAATCTAAATTTTCACCCATTTTTTCCAAAATCAATTTTAATTAAATCCCAAAAATAATTTTATCTTATTTTATCATTATTATTATTTTTATTTTTATTAAATTAAATTAAAACTTTATAAATTAAATATTAAAAAATTAAACTAAAATTCTAATATAAATTAAAATAAATTAAAAAATAAAAATAATAAAATTTGGGTGTTACATAGTTTGTTGGGTAGATTGGTTAGTGAAATTTGTAGTTGCTATTAATGGAGAAGTTTTGGTTACAGAGATTTGATTAGAAAACCTATGGTGTATATACATACATATACATATATATATATATATTTGCATATCATCTTTGGTTTTATTTTCTTGTTTTTTCTTCTTTAGAGTTGTTTTACTTGTCATTTTTTATATGTTTTAAGGGCTATACTATAGTACCTGCACCCTTATATTTTTAGAGGTGTACATATATATATATATATGGGTACGTACTAAATTCATCTATATGTATATGTATATATTCATTTTAGAGTATATTAAAATTTTAGGTTAATTAGGGACTTTTATAGAAGTACAAGACATTAATTGAAGTTGAATAAGAGAAAAGAGAATAATTATATTTTCTCTGATATAAATCATGATTGCTCATCTCTTTGGGCCCTTATTAGCTGTAATTCCTCAATACTATATATATATATATATATATATATATGTCATACTCCTTTATCAATAAATACATATATACACATATAAATATAATATACTCCACTTTTCTCAATATGCTCTCATCTCTTTCCCCATTTAATGTTTATACTCATTCCCAACATTACTTCCCTCAGTTATATATATGTTTGTATATATATATATATATATATATATATATTATATACACACACATGTAGCCTACTATGAGTTTCTAGATGCACTTCAACAAATGATAGTGAGATTCTTTCTTTAGAGTAGATTTAGATTCTCAAGTTTTAGGCATAATGATATATAAGTCCATAAAATTTTTTACTATTAATATTTACCACTCCATCCCTTTGACTTACTTATAAAAATAATTAATTTTATTTTAGAGTAAATCTTTAATATAATTTAAATTAGATTGATCGATTTTATAACAAAAATAATATATATTAATTCTATAACTTAAAATTCGAACTCACGTATTAATAATAAAATATAAAAATACTGAGATTAAAAAATAATTGTTATATTTAGAGCAAAAAAAAATTTATATCTTTTTATCTCTTTATTTTCTGTACGAAAAGATTAAAACTATTTTATTTTTAATAAAATTAAGAAGAAAAAGTAAAAATCACACTCAGAATTTTGTTCTTATTCATGATAAAATTGAGAAGAAAGAGTAGAAATCACTCTTTCAAAAATTTTTTCTTTTTTAAATGTGAGTAAAAATACCTTATTACTTATTTAGAATAATCACAACCGATTCTTCATGATCGAAAAACGAAAGAGTTATCAAAAAAGAAGAGAAGAAAGAGAAAAGGTAGTCTCAATTCATCTTGCACACAAACCCTAGCATCACTTCATGATCGAAAAGCAAAATCAAGATTAGAAAATGTAACATGAAGCCGATATATTCATCATTCCTTCGTTAAAACTATTGAGAAGAAAAATCTAACCCACTAAAAGAGATTACAACGGGAGGTTTCGATCATTTTTACGTACGAAATATAGTGATTTTGAATTTTTCTCTTGTAATGTTTAAATTTTTATTATAGGTTAACTATTGAGAAGAAAAATCTAACCCACTAAAAGAGATTACAATGGGAGGTTTCGATCATTTTTACGTAAGAAATATAGTGATTTTGAATTTTTCTCTTGTAATGTTTAAATTTTTATTATAGTGAAAAATGAAAAAGAATTATGAATTATTTAACTCTCTAAAAGTAATTGAATTAGTATTTTAAAAAATTAAAAATTTAGATAATATTTTATAATGAGAAGAAAATATTTAGTACTAAAATTAAAAAATGAGTCGAAATTTGAAGACTAAATTATTAATTTATTATTCTGTTTATAATATAAATTCAAAAAAAAAAAAGTAAAGTAAAGGAGCATGTGGATCCTTGACAAAAAATTGAAAAGTGAAGGGTACATTGGGTAATTTAATAGGCAGCAGCAGACATGTTCAAGTGTAGTAGCAGATGTTAAAGTAAGAAAAGAAAAAATTCACAGGCCCCATGAATATCATCTGGTCATAATAATAATTCATTCATACATACGTACATATATATACATATATGTATATATATATATATAGAGAGAGAGAGAGAGAGAGAAGAGAGAGGGTGAGATTTAAGTTCCTTCCTCCAACAACACAACACAAAGACTGATTGCTTCAAAATGCCCCACCACCCACATTCCAATTCATTACATCCAAACCCATCATCATAAACATGAAATTTCTTTTTTTGAATCATTGAAAAAAAATATCAGGTATAAAATTCTCCATACCCATTTGATCAATTTTTCAACTTTTGCTTTCTGTGGTTTCTGTTTCTCCACAGAAAAAGAAAGATTAAATATCTTTCCTTAATTATTTCCTCTTTTATCTCCATTCAAGAATCCCTTTTCTGGGTGCCAGTTCAAATCAACAATGGATGACATATATGCAAATTCTTGTCAGTCTCATTTGGTTTGAATCTTGGGATTAAATCATGTGACTGATAAGAAATCAGTTCAAATGACATTATGTGAAGAGCTTCATAAAGTATTCAAGACTCAATGGCTACCAAAAAGAGAAGCTGGTTCAGTTTCTTGAAGAGACTATTCAATGCAGAACCTAAATCAGAAAAGGTTAGTAAAATACTACATATATATGTATGTATATGCTGTTATACTTACAGTCATTGGGTGTATCAGAAGGAGATCAAGAGGAGGAGATGGATATTTGGTAGGCTAAGTAGCAAAAGACTAGCCTCCATTCAAGCTCCACCATCATCAACCAGAGAGAGATCAGTAAGTGACCAAGCAGAAGAAGAACAAAACAGACATGCTCTGGAAGTAGCCATTGCCTCCACTGCTGCTGCCGAAGCTGCTTTAGCTGCTGCTCAGGTTGCCGCTGAGGTTGTTGTCCTCACTTCCACCATTCCTCCTCCATCTAATGGGTTTAGTCACCTCCAAATCCAAGAGCTTTCTGCCATTAAAATCCAGACAGCTTTTCGAGCTTACCTTGTAAGTTTCTTATAGTAGAAATAACATATTTAACTAAGTAGTTATGTCACTTCCCCAGAACGCTAGGATTGATCTCAGTCTCAAGACCGGATCTTCTCTCATTTCTAATAGAGAGTAAGTGACCAGTGACTATGCTAGAGTTGATCTCAAGACCTTCTCTCATTTCTAATAGAGAGTAAGTAATAAGTGACTATGTAAGGTTTGATCCCAGTCCCAGCCCTGGATATTCTCTCATTTCTAATATAGAGTAAGTAACTAGTGACTATGCTAGAGTTGATCCGAGAACCAGATCTATACACATTCTTTCTTAATAGAGAGTAACTAATCAATGTGTTAAGACTCCATGTTTTTGATAATTGAAGTTAATACAGGCAAGGAAAGCTCTGCGGGCATTGAAAGGCATAGTCAAGCTTCAAGCACTTATTCGGGGGCGAGCAGTGAGACGACAAGCCATGAATACTCTCAAGTGTTTGCAGTCACTTGTGAATATTCAATCACAGGTTTGTACCAGGAGAATCAATATTTCAGAAGCAACATTGTATTGTGATGAAAGCAGGAATTTACAGACATTGAAAGACAAGATAATAAAGGTATACATACAATACAAGTATGTTTGTTTTAGCATTCTGAAAATCTCTCGATTGGAAATCTTTATTTAAAAATTCAAGACTTGTTCGTTTCAGATTGATACAAACAGTCAGAAGAGATGGGATGATAGGAATTTGACGAAGGAAGAGGCTGAGGCCATGGTCTTAAGCAAGAACAAAGCTGCAATCAAGAGAGAAAGGATCAAAGAATACGCGTTTAGTCATCGTGTAAGCTTTTTCGTCTCACTGGGTTTTCCGTTTTACCAGATTCTTTGTTGATTCATCTCACAGGGAATGAATCTGCAGAAATCAGCAGAATCAGAACAGGACAAAGGGAATGGCAAATGGAAGTACTGGTTAGAAAAATGGGTGGATACCCAATTATCAAAGAGCCGAGAACTTGAACATCTAGACTTGAGTTGGAATCAAAATCAGCTCGAAGAATCAGTAACAAAACAGGTAACCAAACCTAGAAAAAATCCTATTCAAGAATCGGGTTCTCCCATTGCAGAAGCTAGAAGATCATTTCATCACAGAAAACAATGTTCCCTAGGAGAAGACAATTCTTTCTCTACTTCACCACCTGTTCTTCCAACTTACATGGCTGCAACTGAATCTGCTAAGGCCAAAACAAGATCACTAAGTTCCCCGAAACTCCGGCCAGGGAGCTTCGACACTCAATCCGAAACCTATTCACCATACAAGAACAAGCTGTCTGTGATAACTAATGTTTCAGGTGATCAAGCAGCAAGCAATGATAGGATTTGCAGGCATAATTCTTACCAGCAAAGATCACCAAGCTTGAGGGTTCTCCCTGCAGGTCCAATAAAATCGAATCGATCCCTGAAGGATCTAAGTTTTAATTCAGAGTGTTCATTTTCAAACTGGACTCAATCTAGTCCTTTCAGATGATCATTCTGATTTTTTAAAACAATCAGGCTTGTGGGTTTTATTTTTTTTTTTATAATTACAAATTATTTGCTTCTTTAATCTGTTTGATCAAAAGCATGTATTTGAGTTCTCTCATTACAAAATTATGTAATGCAAAATAATCCATTAAAATGGAGAAGAAGCCTGCACAGAGAGTTTGGTTTGACAGATATGAGATGTGAAGATGAAGATTGCTCTTGGTTTTCTATTTGGGTTTTCTTTTCGTTATATTAGTTTATAATTTATATATTAAATTATATATATATATATATGTTAAGGATGGAAGTGAATCAAGGTATTGAAGAGAAATTAAATCAATGTGCTAACAAGAAAAAAAATCATGGTTTTAAAGCAAAAAAAAATTAAGGTGTTAAAAGAGAAAATAAATAAGGGCATTGGGAAGGAAGTAACTTAAATCAAAAAATAAAATTATATCATTTGTAATTAATTGTTTATTTTCTTTTCCGTCCTAAAAAACCTATATATATAAAGTTATAATATCCAATGGAATACACATCAATCAAAACCATTCTTCACAATATATATGAGAATAATAACATAATTTTGAAAAATACATTACTAATTAAATTAAAACTCATAATAAATATTAAGTAATATATCATTCCTTAAAAAAAATCAAACAGTATGAATTATTCTCTATAGATTTAGCATCCAAATAATTTAAACAAGTGAAATGTATGAAATATTAAATGAGAATAATATATTTAAGTAAATAAAAAAATAAATTCAATGTTGAGTAAGATAATATTCCTGCCTCCCATAATGATAGCAGCAACAGAGAAGCCCAAGCTGTCTCTATGCCTTTTCAGGAAGCTCATGACCCTACCTTAAATTCATTATCAATAAAGCCCATACTACGTAGGGTTCTTCATCTTTAAATGATAAGGTACTACTAATTGTTTTTTTTATAAATAATAACTCTTCTGAATGTGAAATTATTGAAAAAACAACTCGTTAATCGAATGCATCAATTCATTTAACACAATAATAGAATAAATTATTTTAATGTCAAAAAAATTAAAAAATTTAATTTTTAAGGACAAAAGTATAGTTTTTTCTTTTAAAAGTGGGATTGATGTATTGAGGTAAATTAAAGGACGATTGGGTTTGAAGCTCTAAAGAAGACATTTGGCAAGCAAAAATGCCAAAAGCTAGTATTGAAGAATTGACAAGTTTTTTTGTCAACCAAAAATGCAGGGTTTTATCCTATGATTCAGGTTTTAGTTCATAGGTCAATGCATTGTGTAAAACTTGTCTAAGCGAACAAGCTACTTAAGGTAGTCTACAAGGCATTTTTCTTTTCTGGAATGAAGTTGTCTGGACAGCATGGAGGTATTCAATTATGTTTTCAATGAGGAAGTAGCAGATTCAAGCCTCAAATATTTTTCTCTTTTCCTTCTACTCTATTGTCTGCTCTGTTTTTCTGCTTTTTGCGGTTTCTATAGTTCCTCTTATTTATCCATTCTGTCCATATACACACACAAAGTTCCTAAGAAAGTTACTTATATGTTCACAATAATACATAACCATAACTGCTGTCAAAAGGACTAGGAAGTAGAAAGTGCAGGGGATGATTTTTTTTCTTACTCTTGTGTGCCTTATCTAAGCTCCTAAAAGAATCATAAACTCTGCACTAAGCTTCTCGTTTGGGCCGGTTCCGAGTACGTGGAAGCACAGGTTCCTGCACTATCTCCTCTACTGAAATCTCTACATCATCACTCTCCTCTTCAGCTTCCCGTATTGCTTGGTTAATAGCAACCTATTCCATTAAATCATCAGGTGAAGAACTATGTTGCCAGCATAATCCCCATAGTACTAACTGCAAAGCATACATGATAATGCACACATCCAAACAAAAGAATATAACAATGACCCCAATTTCTGTCAAGTGTGTGTCTTTTATAGTGCCATGCTTATACTTGTCCCCTTTAACATATTGGTAGACTGATTTGTAACAGAAGGTCCTATTTTAACGCTTTATTGAAACCATAAAACGCAAAGCTTGAAACTATCTTGACTAAAAGCAATATGCAAATTGAGAGTTTCCCTCTAAGGGTAAGATTCTCCATGCCAATTAACTCCATGTTATAATAAAGGGTCAAGGATAATATCACTGTAATACCAATTATCTGTGAGAAAGATCAACCAAGCTGTGGCCTCAATATTTTCTCTTAGAGAAGTAATATTTAGAATTCAAGCATGTGTATACTATTGGTAAGCTTTCTAAATGTCAGACGCGATATATAAGCATCCTGGGAACCTCTCACTCACAAGCAAGTCTTAAAATATCTGCAAGAATTTCAAATTAACAGTCTTCAAAAAAGATAACAATTTCATGCATCCGAAATTCTCCTAAATCACAATGTATTTCGAATTCTTATTCATATTAACCTGACTGAGTAATTCACATGGATTTCAACAGGAAAAAGACATTTATAAGAATATACTGCAAATGCTTATTTCCCACCAACTTTGACAAAGATTTACTGGCTTGATGGGTTCTTAAGACAACTAAAAAGTAAATGGCAAGAAAAGATCTAATCGGACCAATCATCTCAAATTATGTTCAATAAACAATCATTTTAACCAAGTCAACTTAAATTTATAAAAGAAAGCACAAAGCTTCACTTATAAACATGTGCTACGCACTATAACATGTTTAAGAAGAACCCATTCGGAACTTCTCTCAAACATCTGGTGGGTACCCAAAATTTTAAAATCTGTTCAACCACTTACATGAAAAGTGAAGACCGAGCCATTAAGCTTGTCAGACACTAAAAACCCAAAAGGAACAACGTAATCAAACAGAAACTAGACATGAACAACTACAGAAAGAGTGTTAAACAAGATGAAAAAACCAATTGGTGAACAAGACGAAACTAAACATTTTCTGAAAATATAGTCAACCCGCAAAAATTTAGATTGGGTAAGACTACGCGCAGACCAAAGCAAAACCCACAAAAATGGAGGTGATACAGAGATAACATACCTCCTCAAGAAAGTCTCTATCGAGCTTATCAGCAATCTTGATAGAAGTGAAAATGGTGACAGCAAGAAGCGAGAATGGGACCGCGAAAGCGAACAAGTAGCTGCTCGTGTTGGGACCCGCACGTGTCACCACCGTCGACCCTCGGCCATTCAAGCGGCGGGTTGGCTGGCCGGTGGAGAAGCGAATGGTCGGGGAAGATGATGGTACGTGCGACAGGGGGATGACACGTGTGGCGGGAGGGAGAGGGAGTACAGGAGAATTGGAGATGAGGAGATTCGCCATGGGCTTCTCGGAGTTCGGGTTCGGATTATGTCTTGATTTTCTAATTTTATATTTTTATTTTTATTTTTTAAATATATTTACTGTTAAAAAATATTTATTTTTTTATTTTAAATTTAAGAAGATAATGGCGTGTTTGGTTGCAAAAAATATATAAAATAAAATTCTTCTCCTACATAATTAAAATTTTTGTATTTTAATTAAAAATTATGAACTCGAACCTCATCCAAACGAATTACAACGAGCTTATAGAATTACAATGGTAAGCCTGCTTGCAAATTAATCTATCCTGATTCTTCCCTTGCCAACAAGTTCAACATCCAGACAATCATAGAAGCAGGGACAACCATATAAACCACCCAACTAAACCTTCCTAGATGAGAAGCTGCGAATTGTCCATTTCCGGAGGTGGCAAAGGCGGAACAGCTGCTTCGTGAGAGCGGCTTGCTTCAACATTCAAGACCTTCCTACCAGACGCCTGATGCTGTCTGCTTCTATCGACCTGTCGAGAAGGAAGGGAGATTGATGCAGCAGCTCTTGAAGAGTTACTGCTATCGATTGTTGCCAAAAACTTTTCCCTCGAAAGAGTTGTGGAAGCAGATGAAATAACAGAGCTTAAGACACCAGATTCTCGTAAAGCTTGTATTATGACCTGAAATGTATGTGGCAAAACATAAACTTTGAAAGAAATAGTTACATTGACAATAAGAAGTTCATCAAAAGTAGAAATGAACTCTGATTTTGGGAATGGGCTGTAAGTTGCCAAGAGAAAATCATCCAAAGCAATGTCTTATATATCAAATTCAAATCATTTCAGTGAATCAAGTCTGTCTACTTTGTATTCTTTCCGAGAACAACCAATTCAGCCTCATTGATACAGCCTGACATTTTACTCATCAGCTGACGTAACTCGGTTTGTTAAAATTTTAAAGCCTAATAAAAGGCACCAACTTTTTACTCTAGCATTAGTTGAAAAATGCACTTAAATAACTATGCTTGTCATGTTTTTCCCCATTATAAAAATGCTTACCATGGGAGAATGTATCCTTGTTAAAATGCCCTTTTTCAGGAGTTTCAGTTTCAGATCTTTGTCACCCCATACAACATGCTCACGATACCTAAAGAATCAGATGCCACAAGTCTGTGAGGTACATATATCCATTTAACCACTTCAGCTTATAATCAAGTGGTTCCTTGTGAACTCAAGTTGGTATAGAACTTGTTTTCTGCACTCAGTGTTTACCAGTTTAGCATTTCCTCATCTGTTCCGGTTGAAGCAATTATAAACGCCTGCAATGCATAAAACTTATTTAGTACAGTGACCAAGTGAGATAAAACAACATTCAACAGAAAGCTAACACAATAGCTGAAAAAAAAAGTTTTGAGGAATATGTGTGAGACGGAAAAAGAATCTTTCTTTTACTTATCCATAGTTGCAGGATACACATCAGGAGTTACATGGGTTTTTAGATGAGTTGAATCCATTATCAACAATAACCAACTAAATTAATACACGTGCAGGCAAGCATAAGACAAATATATGAAAACATGATACGTTGTAACTACTTCAAATTAATTGATTTTATTAACCATCAATCCGTGACCCTTCAGGGTTTCTCACAGTAACCCCACACAACCTGTAGAAGCCACTTGTAAGAGACTGTATGTACAAAAATCTATCTAGTTCAGGTCTCCGGTAACTAGCATAGAAAATGCTGGCAAGGGATTCCTCATTTGCATAACTCCTTCATAGAATAATTCCCATAATTTCTTTTTCTTTTTCTTTTTTTCTTTTTCTTCTCGAACAAAAAAAGTGATCAGGATAGTCACCAGGGAAATTTCTAAAGCTAGAAAATGGGAAAAAACTGCACATATAAAAGAAAAGGGAATAAACTCACAGATCTATCAAACTCCAGCATAAAGCATCTTTTAACATCCTCCTTTGTGGGCTTGCACCCACATCGGTCACGTCTAGAGGTCAAGTCAGAAAATTTGGCATATGTGTAATGCAGAACAGCAGCCTCCTCTAATTTGATCTCACTGACAAGAATTACATCAAATATTAGGGAAAAAAAAAAAGACAAAAGGACTAGGAAGATAACTTTTCTTTTTGCTTGTGGAATCAAATTACCAATCATAGAACCAGTAACAAAATAAAGGCTCAAATTTCACATTTGATTTAGTTAGCAAAAAATGCTTGTAAAATGCGATGTCTAGGAATAATCAACACTCGTTAACATAAACCTTGCTTCCTTCTTCCTGAACACCTGTGCACCAAACCTTTACTTTGCCATCACCTAAACATATGGTACCAATTAAAATTCCAATGCATTCAGGAGAAATCGTCAACATGTAAACAGATATGTGTAATGTATTTCACTACTTTAGTTCAAAAAATTCCATCCTGTATTCTGATTCAAGTGTCGAAATAAGATAATAGCATCAATACTTTGGGGTTTTCATATAATTGTGCCATCTGTGTGCACCATTTGGACGTAGATGATCTTGAATCCGAGCAGCTGATTTCCCGTTTCCATAAGTCAAAAAGTAATTTGGATTACCACGAGTTGATTCTTTGTACAGGCCAAAGTATGTATCTTTTGGAAGGTGGTCATAGTTCTTCTTAAACATTGATACCTACATGCACATAAATAAAAACTAGCTGTGCATCAAGGTCTATACATACGTACTAAAGATTAATATGTTAATTTTAACAGAATTTCTAGGGAACCTATCTCTTTCTTTAGGAGAAAAAATTCTTAGGACATTTATCAGTTGACAAAATTACACCATAGAATTTAAGTTACAATTGGTTCACTTTCAATTCTTGGACTTCAATTATTTGATATATTAAAGATAATTATAATTTTAATATTTGATTTCTAATTGAATCAGCTCCATTTAGTTTTTCAATTCTACAAATATAAAGCAAAAGAACTAATTTGAATTGGAATGGAAGTAACTTAGAATTTAAATATTATTTTCCAATGAATTCCTATCCCATTTATATTGTATCCATATTCATATTCTACGGAATTGAAATTTAAACCAAATACCTTTACCAAATGGTGAGAAGAGGATCAATTTCAAAAACACAAAAGCTTATAGACCAAATACCTTTGTGAAACTTCTTATGTTACTGATGTTTCTAAATACCTTTAGCAAAAGAAGCTGATTCAACTAATTAAAAGATTGTGTTACATAATTATGCATCCAAACAAAAAAAACATATGCAACTCAAATAATCAATATCTTCTTCAATTGCTGACTGCTTCATGACCATAGGTTTATGGATTAATACGAGATCATATGGTGTGTTGCAAACTTTCTCTCTTGGAAACTTAAACCTTTTAATGTCTATGCCATCGGTACAAGTCAAAAACACAAAGCTAAACAATTTACGAAATTTACCTCAGTAAAAGGATCTTTGATATCATCCTGTTCAACACTGCTTTCCTGAGGCAGAAAGATAAAAGGAACGACACAATGTCTACCCATTACAAGCTTCTTCAAATTGGGAGTGATAGAATTTTTTAATTAGTTCAAATAATCACTTACATAGTTTGGAAATATAACCATATCAACATTTGCAGGGATATCAAGCAGCAACTGCCTCAAGGAATACTCATGAGCACCTGCAGGGTGTATTAATTCGTCGGTATCAAGATGAAGTATCCAGTCGATGCCTGCATCCTAATATTTTGAAAAGCAAGAGCTCACATGTATTAAAATAAAATCAATGGCTTTAAGAAAACAATCAAGTCATAGTGCATACCCTTGCCATAACTATAGCCATCTCCATATTGAGAGATTGCTTCACAAATAGTTCATAGTTGCATGGTTTATAAAAGAAACTTGATAACCACGTCTCATTCCAGATTCGGCTAACAAAACACAAAAGAGAAGGCATAAGAAGAAGGATTCGGCAAAACAAAATATGATAGTCACATTTTCACCCATGAAAGAGAGTGAAGACAAAAAAGTCAACATCAAGATGAAAACTTATTTTGGTGTTTCTATGTAAAATAAAGCTGGAGGACAATGAGCAGAAAACTAAAGAAAATATAGAGATACAGTTCTCAAAAGAAACCTGATACGATGTAAGAGAAATATGAAGTACAAGTTATAACTTATGTCAAACATAAATTTTTCATACTTATTCAGATGTGCTGATGTAGATATTGGATCATGGTTAAGAGATATAAGAAAATTACAAAAGAAAAGATAAAATCCAATTAACAATCATAGGGATTGGCAACAACCACAAGTCAAAGAATCGTTAGACAGTCAATTCAATGAGACAAATCCATAGCCTTACTCACAAGCAATCTGTTTAATAATGATAAAGCATCCATGTATTTATAGGGTCACTACATAGCTTAATACAACTAGAACTTGTAAATTGGAAAGAATACCCAAATAAAATTCTTGCTAAAAGAAATAAAATCAGAAAATATTAAAACCCTGTACTAGTATGTTTTATACTAGTAGTACTCTTGGAAGACACTCCTATTCCTAGGAAAATACTTCTCAAATGTGAGGTACATCATTTGCTTCACTACAATGACAAAAATGTATTATCCTTGAAAACCTATCCACAACTACAATAGTAGAATCATGTGTCTAACCCTTAAAAAGTCCATGGTCAAATTCTTACAAGGCTCATGCGAAACAAGTAAGGAGGTTGATGTTGGCGACCAAAAGAGGATGCTTGAGGAACAACCTATGCAAGTAGGGGCTTAAGATACTTCGCTATCTCCAAAGCTCTGTGGAATGTTTTTTTTAATAACGGATTTTGAATGATAGGTGGATCACCTAAAACTTCTGATTTTGAATGTTTACCAAAATCTCCTCACAGACCACTAACTTTAACTTGGCCAAATAAACATTCTCTACCTCACTTAAGTGATAATGTTGGAAGTAGTCCTCAATACCACTAAGCCAACCTAAACAGACTCATGGATCTAGACTTCCATCAAATGTAGGTGCATCAACCTTGACCCTTTTGTAAGGATCAACACACTCATCTTGAGCAAAACTAAGGTTCTCATGAGTGAGGGCATAGGCTCCTTAACCTTGCCTAAGCATGTATTGCTGCTGGCAATAAAGGTATGATGTGTTCCAATAATGCCTATGGTCATACCCATCATGTGACTACCTAGGAAACTCATGGTAACAGTTGATATTAGGATTTCTAGATCCATGCCTCTCATGGGAATGAACATCTTTAAAGCA